CAGCACCTTGGGTATACCTTGGAATGGGGAACTAACTCGGTTGTTCTTCATCATCAGGCATATGCCGAAAAGATTCTGAAGGCGTTCAATATGGAATCGGCAAATTCAGTTCGCACACCTCTTCCTACCAATGCACTCCATCAAGTGGAGCTCGAATCGACTCCTTTTGATGCGGCGGTGATACAGAAGGCTATGGGGTATATTAATTACTTGGCTATTCACACTCGTCCGGATATTGCATTTGCGACAAATCTGTTATCTCGTTACTCTTCACGGCCCACGCAACATCACTGGAGCCTGGCTAAACACTTATTGCGTTATATCAAAGGGACGATTAAGTTTGGTATCGAGATCAAAGATCGGAGTTCGCCCAGGGATTTGATTGGATATGCTGATGCAGACTATGCCATGTCTAATCCGGATAAAAAGTCTACGACGGGGTATGTGGTGAAATTTCAAGGAAACATCATTTGTTGGAAATCGAAGAAGCAATCTGTTGTGGCTCAGTCAACTACGGAAGCCGAATTCATAGCGATCAATGTATGTGCAAAACAGATACGGTGGATGAAGAACTTGTTGATAGACATGAAGGTTCCGGTGGGTGTTCCGTGTATACGGAATGACAATGCTGGTGCGGTTATCATAAGCAAAGAACTTCGATTATCGGAAAACTCAAAGCATATTGAAATTCGGTATCAGTATCTACGAGATATCGTGGCTAAGAATCAATTAACGGTGGAAGATATCTCAACAGATGATATGATTGCGGACATATTGACGAAGTGTCTCGGGTTCATCAAGGTGGCTTTAGCGCAGAAACAATTACAACTGGTGTCTGCTAGTTAAGGAGGAGTGTTGAGGGATAACTAGCGACGTCAGCTGTGGGAATTTCATGTGAAGGAAGTATGCACGTGGAAGTATGTGTTGTGTAGATTTCAAATGCTTAGATAATCACAGTCAGCAGACAGTAGTCAAAATGGACTGTGAAGTCGTTCTCGTTTTTCTTCTCTCTTCTTCTTCAATCTCGTCAAGACTTCAAGAAGCAAGACACAAGCATCAGCAAGATCAAGAGGTCAAGACGTATCAAGACGCAAAAACACCGACTACATCAATCCAGGAGGAGCGACAATCAACAATCACTATAATTAGGAGTTGTTTATTCTTTGTTGTTCAAGGCTTAGCTGTTTCTTCAAGTGATCATCTTTCTGTTTAGTCGTCGCGATTGTTGTTCTTAAAAGATTTTTCTACTACTACTGGCTGTTTGATAAGATTTGCAATAAAGAGTTCTTGTTGAATCATCACACAACCTGCCTCTCAAGAGCCCAAAGGTTCAACAAGAACCTTACTGATTTGGAAATCAGAAAGGTTCTCCGCTTGCTGTAGGACTCCTGGGACGGATAG